TACCCCTCTCTGCCCCAGTTCTCCTCATGCCCCTCTGTGCCCTCACACATGACTTGCTCCATCCCCTGCCTTTCTCATGCCCACCCCTGCTTTCAATGCCTCTTCTTCTGTCATCCACTCCTCCCCTCTCCTCTTCCTACCTCTTGCCCCCATTGCTCCTCCCCTCTCTTCTTCTTTCCTCTTACTCCCATTGCCTCTCTCCTCTGCCCTTCCCCTTTCCTCTCCTAGCATCACCCTGTCCCCTCTTCTTCCCTCCCCCTCCCCCCCGACACCTCCCACTCACCCTCACTTCTGCTCCTCCTGCCTTTTCCCCTCATTGTCTCCTCTTGGACCCCTGGTGTTTGTCTCTCCTCCACCCTGCCCTTTGGTGCCTTCCCCTTACTTCTTCTGCCTTGGTCACCTCTGCTCCCCTCAGCACAAGCCCCTTCCTTTCCTCACTCCCACCTTCACTTTAGTTCTTCCCCTGACTCTTCCCTCACCTTCCTGACACCTGCAGCCCTCACCCACCTCTAGCCCCCTGGTGCTGGGGGTGGGCTATGTTCCAGGGCTGGGGCCAGGGCCGCGGTGCTATTTTTACTACTGCAGCCCAGGCTTCAGCAGCTACCACGAAGCCCACCCTGGCCACAGCTCCAGCCCTGGGGAAGGGCTGAAGCTAGGGCCAGGGCCACATGGTGGCTGCCCAGCTGTTCCTGGGGTGAGGCAGCTGCCCACCACATGACCCTGCCTAGGAGCAGCTGAGCAGCCACTGCACGGCTTTGCTGAGGAGGTGGGCAGGAGGGAAATGCTTGGTGCGTGCCTGTGCAGGCATGCACCATAAAGGGAACTATGAACTAACGTACCAACAAGCATGCATTGTTGCTCAGACAACTCCTTTTGTTGGCTTCCTGGTTTATACACTACTGTGAGCCAATCAGTGCGTTGCAGGGGGCTGCCACTCAAGGCCTCCAGGATGCTACTTCCTGCAGCATCTAGCTTCAGGGATTCCTCTAGCAAGAACCCAACCTAAATTTCCAATGCAGAAGCATCAGCAGGCTAGAGTCTACAGCTCTAGCACCATAGGTTCTTATAAACCCATTTTTATTCCTAGCTGTTCAAATGCTTTACAAACGTGAGGAAGCATTGTTATTCCTCTTTTACAAATGTGAAAATGGGCATAGTCAAGTACAATGACTTACCGAGGTCACCTAGTCAGATAACAGTAGTCTCCTATTTCTTAGCCCAGTGTTGTATCCATTTATTTAAGAGACATCATGATGTTATATTAAAATCTAGTGATATAGTCACTGTTAAGATAAAGAAGCATGTGTTAATATTTTCATTGTCCATTACATTCACATAACAATTATTTCACTTCTGTACTATATAGAGGGAGTGATGTGTTTCTTATTCTTATCATTGTTTGTGATTGGTGCTCTTCAAGGCTCAGCATGCAATGCTCCCATCTTTATCTGGGCAGTGCTACCTGGAATCAAAAGTGAGCATCATGTTGAGAGATTTGGCACTAGGTCCATCACTCCACAGTAGAGAAGAGTAGTAACCCAAAGAGATGAAATCTCCTTACAGGGGATTTTTGCAGCCCCAGTACTCGACAGTTTAGTTAAATGTGTGCTTAATTATTTGTGCGTTAAACTAACATACTTCTTTTCATATGACGTGATTTCTGTATTTTCATTTTTCTCTCTGACTAGGTTGCCTGGAGACCAGTATTTTGGGGAATCGGAATACAGTTTATTCTTGGTCTTGTTATTCTGAGGACTAAAGCAGGATTTGACGTATTTAATTGGCTGGGTAAGCAGATACAGGTAAGACATTAGCCAAAAAAAGAATGCTTTTTTTTAAATGTTTTCTTTATTAGGGTATCTGTTGTGCTTATAGAAAGCACATGAGATCTTTTTCAGGGGAAAAGGTAATGCGCTGCCTTTATTGAAAGTACAACATGAAAAGCAGCCTCAGAGGAGCCTTGAATCATGATCGATGAACCCTCTGTGCGTTGTGCCACCAAAGCTCATGATACCATCTACATGTTTTGATAGTCTTTAAAGTGCTGCAAGACAATTTGTTGTTTTTTAAGTTTTTAAAGGATTACATAGTTACTAGAAGACACAATTTAGATTGCAATACAGATATTGTCTAATCATGACAAACAGGATGAAAGAGAAGCATACAACACTTATAAGAAAATCATATAGCACTTGTTACTATTGTTATACTTGTATTCTTATACCAACACTAAAATATTACATTTTGGCTACATATTCATATTAGAACAGGAGCAAGTTGATTGCAACAATAAATGAGACATTAATAAGATAAAATGTTATATATGTTCTACATCTGTGGTTCTCAACTGGTGGTCCATGGTGGCTTTTTCAGTGGTCCACAGGAACATTGTCCAAAGTCACACGGCGTGAGCAAGCACCGCCATTAGGCTGTTTTACGCCGTGTTCACAAGTACGTGGCGTATCATCCATAGCGTCACCTAGGACGCAACTGCGTTGTGTTGCCAGTAACTTCCATCTGAGGCTCTGAGCGTCAGTGTAGCTGCCGCTGTCATGCTGAGCAGTTGCTGTGCGGTTCGTCCTGTGCTACATGTGCTGGAGGTGGTCCACGAAAATTTTTTGATTGGCCTGGTAATCCGTAGACTGAAATGAGTTGAGAACCACTGTTCTATGTAGTGTAAACCTGCAGTCCCCTACTATTCAAAATAGATACATTCTGTTACACACAAATACAGCACTAGAAATTGTCAATTATCCAGATTATCAGAGTCAAACATTTATTTCTTGAGAAATGGTTTTGCAATAACTTCTTTAAAACAGCTGTCACCTTCTGTTCCTCTTGGGATGACATGTGGCTTTGTTTCCTAGCTAGTGTACCTGGTGTTCCATAAAGTCAATAGGAGTTTTGCAATAGAAGTCAAAGGGAGCAGAATCAGATCTTTAATGTTTTGACTTCCCGGGAGAAATAAGGTTCTCTGAAGTGTAACCTGCCCAGTGATTATATCCAGTCTTTTCATTTTTCTCTGCATACTATCTTTAAATAAGCATGTTATTCTTATGCCAAATTGTCAGGCCTAAAGCCATACCTACACAACAGAATTATGTCAACCTAATTTGCCTTGTCATACAGTCTCCACCATTATTAAATCACTTGTGTGTTGCACTGGACTCGTTGGGCTGGTTGTTCATCCTCACCAAGAGCACTTGTGTCATTTGTATTAGCTGTGTCAGGTATTGGAGCATGGCTTCTGAAAGCCATTAGAAGTCTACATACACAACATAGTGTCTACACAGACACTGCATCAACCTTATTACATCAGCCATAAGGCTACACCACACAGGGAGCTGGTGTTACTAAATTGGTGTAGAGAGGCACTGACATTGCTAGGAGCCAAATTGAAGTGGAAATATTTCCACAGCTAGGTTGACACAAGGCATCTTAGATTGGCCTAAGCCTGTAATGTAGCCCAGTTCTCATAAATGATGGATTGGAATGTTCCCAATCCTTAATTGGCCATCATCTCATTTGGGCTGAAATTAGAACCCACCCCATTGCCAGGCAAGAGTATCTCATACTGGTCCACTTGCAAAAGCTCATGGTCCAATTCTGAAATATCTTTAAAAGAAACTGTCGGCTAAAATGCCAGGTAATAGACAATCTAATGAGACACTGCCACTAGAGCCACAGTCACTTTAGGACCACAGCATGCACTCCTTGTCCTCCATAGGCTCCTGTGCATCTCAGACCACCTGCAAGAAAAGAAAGATGGAATAAAATTCAAGCATTGGTGGCAGAAACACAAGTGAAGAAAGAGAGAATTCGGCGGAAGATTGAGACTAGCATGACTTTGTAGCATTGCTGGAGTGGAGACTGCATTCAATGTGGGCACCTGCAAGACAACTTTTATAAAAAAATAATCATCCATTGCTGTAGAGTAACAGTGGGAAATGTAGGCCATGTGTTACACAGTGGGGAATTCAAACATTTGGTACAGAAAGATACAATATTCCTCATATGATGGCCCTTGAAGGTACAGGTGAATAATCCAGGGTAGACCAAATAATGTGGTACTATTCCCACATAAACATTGTATTAAAAATGCAACTTGGACAAGTTTCAAGTATAACCACTAATCTACAGGAAACAAGAGTCCCTGGTGTTTTCAGCCTCAAATATCCTCTTTTCCTTGCCATTCTGATTGAGACAGGGCTGGGCTGCTCAAACACTGATCCTACATGGCACATAGCCATTCTTTTGATAATGCCTTCTTTTTGCCCTCAAGCTTCAACTTGAAAATGGTTCACTGATTGCTCATAGTTACCCTGTGAAGTTCTGCCAACAGGAGGAGGTTTATGTAGAATGTGCAGATGAATCTCAATAGCATCTGTGCTGGGGAGTGAAAAATAAACACATTCTTTGGATTAACTGGTGGCATTTAGCCACTGTCCAGGGGGGAGGAAATTGGAACTGTCTCTTACTACATGTTGCACTGTGCTTATTGGGTTCCCAAACCACTAGCCACTACTGTAACACAAATACTAAATAATTAATAAATATTTATTATAATAAGCAAGTGGCACACACATCAAGTGCCGATTAGTGCACACTATTCCCCTTTCTACAGCTGATCAGTTCAATAGTCTGGTGCAGATAAGTAAGTGTGACTTATTATGGCTATATCTCTCCCCTGCTCCCTTTGAGGCAGCTTTCACCAGAGCGGTGTGGCGAGCAGATCCTGAACTGCGACTATACTATACCTGTTTACTGACAATGATGCAGAACTAGAAGAAGGCGCTTAATCTCTCTTTACAAGTACCTGCAATAGGCCCAACAACCAATCTCATCCTTTTTTTTTTTTTAATTGTACAACATTTGCTTATTATTGGCAATGACCCTCTGCTTATAACAGGTGCTTTGTTTTGGTTTGTTTTCTCTTTAGATTTTCCTGGAATACTCTGATGCTGGTGCTAAATTTGTGTTTGGTGAAAAATATACAGATCATTTCTTTGCATTTAAGGTAAACCACTTTTATAGATGTTATATTTTACGTAAAATTGAGTACAAAAAAGTTTCATTAGGAATCACATTCCATGTGCAATCAACAACATGTGTGCAATTACCCAGGGAACAATCCCCCCCATTTAGATGTGACCCACACAATGAAAAAAAGATGGAGGATTGGGGATTAAACCTGACATTTAATGTTATGCATTTATTTGCTTTAAATTCATTTAACCCATCTGTAGCAATTTACATTTTTCACAGGATAACAGTATTAGCCAGCACATTTTCAAAATTGGAAGCATGACAGGTTAAAGGGCCTTAACTGGTCAGTGGCAACCACAGGGTTAACTTCTACCTTATCCTGTCTCCAACAGGTATTCATGGAAAGATACCAGTAATGAGATACCATGGAAATAGGTGTCCTATAAATACCATGGATAGGTGGAAAGTATTAAGAGGAGGCAGGATTGGAGGCTGCTGCAGCTAAGTAGTTTTACCAGTAGGAAAGCAAGAAACTCTGTAAAAACAGCTGTTTAGAGGACAAAATGGGAAGTTATTTTTAATTAAGCATTTTTTACTGAAGGCTCTCTATGCAGCTCATCAACACCACTTCCTTTCTTTGAAAGAGCACACAGCTAGGCAAGTTATCTCTCTCCTCTCAGAGTCATTCCCCACCCCTGAGCCGTATCATCCCCTGGAAGCCCCTCAGTACAGCAGGGTCGCAGGAACACATCATACATCTAACCACTAAGATTTTTAATTAGAGGTATTTCTATTAAATGTCATGGGCCATGACTTATTTGTTATAGCTTGTGACTTGTCCATGACTTTTACTAAAAATACCCATGACCGAGTTGCAGTCTTACTCATAAATGTATTTTATGTGTTCTCTTTGGGCCAGCATTTAAATTTAAAGCATTTTCCATGAATGGTCACAACCAAAAAGTAAGGGAGGACGGCATATTATAAAAATCGTTATTTTCTCTCTGATTCAGGTAGCCATCCACTTGCAGAACCACAAATGAGTGGTGCAAAGGAAAACAAACTACCTGAGAGCCCGAGAAGCATGATACTTGGTGTCTTCTTTACTCCTGCATTTTCTAGCCCAGTTTCATACAATCAGAGCATGTTTGCTCCCTGGTGAAGAACAGAGGGGAGCATTTGACCTTTTCTTGCCAAGTACATTTCACTTTCTAACTAACCTAGCAAAGGAAAGGAAAGGCTCATTTTGCACCCTTAATAAGCCCTGCTGTGCATAGATTTTTCTCTTTCTACAATATGTGTGATTGCTCCCTATTTAGAGAACCCTGCAAAACTTAGGTATGTCATGAAGAATTAAGGTTGCAGGGAACCTTCATTTAAAACAACTCTGCTTTTGCATAGTTAAATCAGGCCCCCCCAATGTTAACTTGAGGGGCTTCTTCTATGTGTTTGTCCAATATTGGCCGGTAAGCACAACACAACTGAGAAATTTAGGGTGAGTGCAACATGTAAAAATAGTTTAGCACATACAGCATCTAGTTCAGTTTTTTAGAATCACTCTCAGAAAGGAAAGTCTGACATTTCCAAATTGACTCTTCCGTGCTCTAGATAAAAGCTAGCGTGGGTACGACAGGTCATCTCAGTAATTAGATATATGCTAATTGGTTGTATGCCGCTTTCTGTTGAAGATATTGACGCAAAAATTGCTATCATATTAAATAATCAGGAGCTGTTTTTTTAAATATTATTAACTCCCTATGTTCCCTATCCAATCAAGGATGCAGTTGATCACAACTGGAAAATTAACATCCTGACTTGTGGGAACAAAAACTGCACCTATAACTGTCTTCAGGTGCAAAATGGGAAGTCACTTTTAAAATTCAGTCTCTTAGGGTACGTCTAGACTACATGCCTCTGTCGCCAGAGGCATGTAGATTAGGCTACCCGACAGAGTAAAATGAAGCGGCGATTTAAATAATCGCCGCTTCATTTAAATTTACATGGCTGCCGCTTTGAGCCGACAAACAGCTGATCAGCTGTTTGTCGGCTCAGCGCGATAGTCTGGACGCTCCCCTGCCGACATCAAAGGGAGCTGTCGACAACCCAGGTATACTCCCTTTGATGTCAGCAGGGGAGCGTCCAGACTATCGCGCTGAGCCGACAAACAGCTGATCAGCTGTTTGTCGGCTCAAAGCGGCAGCCATGTAAATTTAAATGAAGCGGCGATTATTTAAATCGCCGCTTCATTTTACTCTGTCGGGTAGCCTAATCTACATGCCTCTGGCGACAGAGGCATGTAGTCTAGACGTACCCTTAAAGTGAGTTTGTAAAGTGGTTTATCAGGAACAAGCCTGTAGCAGCATTGATGGCTGACATGTATGGTGAGAATGACAGAGGTGTGCCAGTGTCACACATCTTAAATAGCACATTCTTTCTTTCCCTCTCCAACTTGCTCCCCACTTCCACAGCTACACTGAAACCTTCTGCCTCCAACTGGCTGGGAGAGAGGATATTTTCTTGTAATTTTGATCATCTGTTATTTGAGGATGGTGGCCACCAGTCTTCTTCTCCCTGCACTGCTTTGATACTAGATAACCATGTTCCTAGCATCTGAGAAATGTCCATTCAACTGCATCCCTTGTAAGGATCCAAGTTTAAATATAGAATATGAGATAACCCCAAAATTGGGACCCTTTATATGGATTATATCTGAAAAAGGAGAATGGTGGCCATTGTATGGTTTATTTGATCTCTCTTCTATGATGCTTCTCCCTAATTTCTGAACCATCAATGCATCACAAGCTTACCCTAAAGGTTCTCCTGTCTGTCAGCTAGCGTTAGTTTAAATTATTAACTGCATTAGAGGAACAGGGTCAAGCTAGAGGAAAACATCCCCATAGTAACTCTTTTGAAGGACAAAGGCAGTTCTGGCCATGAACCACATTCACATATTTTAAGAGAGGGTGTTTTTAGAATTTCATCAGCATAAGTTGCAGTGGAAACTCTCCTCTGAAGAATTGAGAAGTGACTTTATTATCAAATAATGCAGTAATGAAGCATTTGATTTTTTTTTTGTATCCTGTTTTTTTTTGTTTTGTTTTTTGTTCTGCTCATTTTCATTATTTAAGATTTGTGATTTCTTTCAGTTGCACAATTAAAATTGTTCTGGGTTTAAAGGTATTAGTTTAAACATTACTAATCTCTCTGGCTTATCATAAATCTGTCCTGAGAGGTTTTTTTGCTATTACATACCAGCATAGAAATGTTGAGTTTCTGTGTGTTTAAGATAAATACATGCTAAATGATTCAGTTTTAATTCAGGATGAAAAACAAAAAGCAGCTAATTACCTGCCAGACTGTGCGTCATGCATGTGTTACTCCACTTGTGATTCTTTCAAACCATTTTTCCCTTCAGTTTCACTGCTATACAATGAATATATCTCAGTGGATTTAGTATAAACACACTGAGTGACTCTGTTCACTGCTGCAAAGCTCCAAACATCCAATGCTAATGTAATTGGTGTTACAAAGGGAGCAGAGCTGAATAATGATAAGAGGACGTTGTAGATTAATAACACATAGTACAGGTTCAACCTCTCTAGTCTGGCACTCTCTGGTTCTGCAACATCCATAGTTCTGAAAGGTTGCTGACTCCTGTGCTGAAGTGGCATGCTGAGATTTAACTTATTCACTTCTATTTATGAATTTGCATGCCACTAACACTTTTTAAAGTCCATAATAGTCCTACTTACCTTTTAGCAGCTTCATTAATAAATAGGGCTGTCAAGTGATTTAAAAAATTAATCGCAATTAATCACGTGCACTGCCCCTTTGAAATGCAGCAGCAGCGTTTCAAAGGAGCAGCACCACAGGAGCCCAGGATCTGGAGTCCCCAGCTGATCCCGGCTTGGTGCAGCACTGCCTCTTGGAAAGGCTTCCCCAGTATTTCCGAGGGGCAGCACCGTGGGAGCCCGGGGTCAGCTGTGCGTGCCACTCAAAGTCGGCTCGTGTGCCACTTATGGCACGTGTGCCATAGATTGCCGACCCCTGGTCCAGCATGATTTTAGTGAGCCAGATGTCCACTTACTATGGGTGTGGCCAGTTTGCAGCTACCAGTCCTAGCTCTCAATGTTCTCTGCTGTTTATTTACTTCTAATTTACCTCTAAATGTGTTGTAAAAGCTCAGAAAGCAGTGGACGTGTTGGTAATACTGCTAGACAACATTGATCTCCTGCTGGTTCAGCACTGGTCAGGTCCCAAAAATGCCAGACTAGAACAGTTCAACCTATAATAGTTCGGTAGGAGTCTGATAAGAAGTTGCCCTTGATCTTGTGAATGTCAGGTCAACATGGGTCCAAACCAAAACCTTTGATCCAAACCCTCTCAAACTTCTGGGAAACTTGGATCCAGATCTGAACCTCAACATTTTATCTGCTCCATACTTCTAAAAAGACCCACACCAAGATCAATCCTTTTACCATGTACATAGAACAAGAGAGTACACATGGCTTTTTTAAAGGGAAATCATGCCGCTCCAGACTATTAGAATTCTTTCAGGGAGTCAACAACCATATGGAAAAAAGTGAACTAGTTGAGACCATGTACTTGGACATTCAGGAAGCCTTTGACTAAGTCCACCACCAAAGGCTCTTGAGCATACTACGCAGTCATTAAATAAGAGGGAAGGTTTCTCATGGATCAGTAACAGTTTAAAAGATAGGAAACAAAGGGTAGGAATAAAAGGTCAGTTTTCACAGAAAAAAGAATTAAATAGCAGGGTCCCCCCCAAAGATCTGTAGAGGTACCGTGCTGTTCAACATAATTATAAATGATCTGGAAAGGGAGCTGAACAGAGAGATGGCAAATTTGCTGACAATACAAAATTACTCAAGATCTGACTACGAAAGGTTACAAAGGGATCTCACTAAACTGGATGACTGGACAACAAAATGGCAGATAAAATTTAGTGTTGATAAGTGCAAAGTAATGCACATTGGAAAAAACGATCCAACTGTACATACAAACCCTTTTGAGGTCTAAATTAACAGAAAGAGATCTAGAAGTCATTTTGGATAATTCTCTGAAAACATTTACTCAGTATGCAATGGCAGTTGACAAAGCTAACAATGTTAGAAACCATTAGAAAAAGTTTAGAGAATGAAACAGGAAATATCATAATGACACTATATAAACCTATGTTACATCCACACCTTGGATACTACATGCAGTTCTGATCATCCAATCTAAAAAAAAGATATTAGAATTAGAAAAGATGCAGAGAAGGACAACAAAAATGATAAGGGGAATGGATAAGCTTCCATACAAAGAGATTAAAAAGACTGGGACTGTCTAAGGGGTATCATGATAGAGGTCTATAAAATCACTAATGGTGTGGAAAAAGTGAATAGGGGTTTGTTATTTACCATTTCATATAACACAAGAATGAACAGTCACCCAATTAAATTAATGAACAGCAGATTTAAACAAAATTCTTCTCACGACAATCAACATATGGAATTCATTGTCAGGGGATTTTGTGAAGGATAAAACTATAAATTGGTTCAAAAAAGAATGAGCTAACTCCATTGGAAATAGCTTGATAAACAGCTATTAGCCAAGATAGCCAGGGATGTAGCCTCATGCTTTGCATGCCCCTAAATCTCCAAGTGACAGTAGCATCTAGCATTGGCTACTGTCTGGATTCTGGCTCACCCAATGTGGTAGTCTTATATTTTCATTTAACAAAGGGAAAGTTTGGTTCCAGACCTGAACTTTGCAGTGCAGCTTCACCAAACCCCAGATCTGAAGCACACATAAAGGTTACAGAATTTTGATCCAGATATTTATAGATGCTAATGTCCGGTAGGAATTTAAGAGGCTGGCTGCTGAGCAGCTTTAAACATGGCTACAGCCAACCTGCAACATGTTGTGTGAAACAGTTTCAAAACTGTCATAGTTTGATATGGAAAGTCTCTAAATCCATGAAAAGCAATTAATCTAAACTCAGTGTATGTACATGGAAAACAACTCTAGGAGTTCCAGGGTAAAATAGTTTCTGAATTGAGTAGTTGAGGTTGAATGACTGAGCTTGCAAGAGCTTTAAAGGGTTCAAAACCAGAATGTATCTCAAAGACATTGGTCTTTTCTTTCAGAAATAGAGAAAAGAAAAAACTCTTTAAAATTTTAAATTACTTTCTTTTGTATTTCCAAATCAGGTCCTACCAATAGTGGTTTTCTTCAGCACAGTGATGTCTATGCTTTACCATGTTGGATTCATGCAATGGCTCATTAAAAAGGTACCATGGCACTTGAATTTTGTCAATGCTCTTTATTTGAGATAGTCAAGTGTTGCCACCATAGGGTATGTCTAGACTGCATCCCTCTGTCAGCAAAGGGATGCAGATTAGGCAGATTGACATTGCAAATGAAGCAGGGATTTAAATATCCTGTGCCTAATTTGCATAAAAATGGCCGCTGCATTTTGCAGACTCAGCACTTTGTCGGCAAAAAGTGGCAGTCTAGAGGGAGATCTGTCGAAAAGGAAAGCCTTTTCCGACAGGTCCTGTAAACCTCCTTGCAGGAGGCATAAGGAATCTGTCGAAAAAGGTTTATTTCTCCACAGATCCCCCTCTAGACTTTTTGCTGACAAAGTGCTGAGTCTGCAAAATGCAGCGGCCATTTTTATGCAAATTAGGCACAGGATATTTAAATCCCTGCTTCATTTGCAATGTCGACTTGCCTAATCTGCATCCCTCTGCTGACAGAGGGATGCAGTCTAGACATACCCATACAGTCAAATTGTGACATTTGTAAATTTAATATTTCTCAATTTTAGGTTGGTTGGATAATGCAGATTACCTTGGGGACATCTCCTGTTGAGTCACTAGTAGCAGCTGGCAACATATTTGTGGGACAGGTGAGTTATAAAATAGAAAAATATACTAGTACCTTTAGATCAGCCCCTTATTAAAAGACAGAAATCCTGGACAGTGGAAGTGAAATAACACTGTTTAATGAGCTTCTGTTTCCAGTAAACCTCCTTTGTATATGAAATTAGTACTGCAATGCATTAGATCTCATGCTTGGTTTTTGGAAGCTCAGAATTCCATCAGTTTAAAAATCAGCAATGACACACAAGCAGGTAAGTTCTGAAGGTTTTACTATGTTCACTCATGAAGCTCTGGTATGAAGGTAGGAGACAGACCCACTCATCAGTCTAAAAATAGAAAGCAAGCAAAAAGGAAGAAAGAATTAACTGATAGAAAGTGAAAATAGGATAAAAAGAGGGAAAAGTGAACAGAAACAGAAAAGGGCAGGAAAGAGAATGGCAAAAAATAAGACAAGTGGTCAACTGTATGAGGACATGGCCCCTTGGGATACAGGACAATGAGGCTATGTCTACACTGCACTCTAAACTCGAAATAAGAGATGCAATTTGCTCTACACAAATTGCGTACTTATTTCATTTTTATTTTGAAATAGGCTATTCTGAAATTTGGTGCTGTCTAAAGTGCTATTTCGGCTACCGGGATGCCAAATGAGGGTTACCGGGCTGCCAAAATAGCGCACCCATTATTTCTAAAAACATTTTGAAATAACAGGTGGCTTGTGAAGACACAGGGGAGCTATTTCGGGATACCTTTGGTATCCCAAAATAACTTTGATGTGTAGACTTGCCCTGAGAGCTCCTTTAAAAAAACAGAGTAAGAACCACTGCACTAAAGCAGCCAAGAAATGATTGTCAGCTAGATGAGGTGGGTGTCCAGCACAATTGCTCTACCCGAAAAACAACACTTAGCATTGAGAAACCCTATGCATATTCAGAGTACTTATCAACATAAACATTAAGTATGTGTTAATACCAAAGACACTGTGATTGAAGTGTACATAATGTTAATTAATAAAATAACCAGTCACTCTATGAGGGTTTATACAGAAAACATTAATTTGACTGTGTTGCTTCTCATTTTCAGACAGAATCTCCTCTTCTAGTGAGGCCCTATTTACCATATGTCACCAAATCTGAACTCCACTCGATCATGACTGCAGGGTTCTCAACCATCGCTGGCAGTGTCTTAGGAGCATATATTTCTTTTGGGGTAAGGAGAGAAAAATAAACCATGAAAATACAGTGTGCATTCCAATCCCCTGAAAATGTGGCATATGTTACATATGTGGCATAATTCTCTTCAGGGTATTATGAATTCAAATTCAGGCAGTGCTTTGAATCAAAATGGGGTATCTGGCTAAGTTTCCTGACCAATAGTGGATCTAGAATTTCATCAATGTGTCAGAGATTTATATGTGTAATTCCCTTTGTTACTAGAAGGAGTTATTTACCTTCTCTTGTGTATGAGAGACTAGACCCAGAGATTTGACCTTTAGTG